AGGGATAGGGACAGAGAAGGATCCAGGGACAGGGATAGAGAAGGATCTAGGGATAGGGACAGAGTAGGATCCAAGGAAGGGATAGAGCAGGACACGGGGACAGAGCTGGACCCAGGGACAGGAACAGAGAAGGATCCAGGAAAGGGGCAGAGAAGGATCCAGGGATAGGGACAGAGAAAGATCCAGGAAAGTGGCAGAGCAGGACACAGGGACAGGGATAGAGCAGGACCTGGGGACAGGGACAGAGCAGGATCCAAGGAAGGGGCAGAGCAGGACCCAGGGACAGAGTAGGATCCAGGGAAGGGGCAAAGAAGGACCGGGGGACAGGGACAGAGAAGGACCCGGGGACAGGGACAGAGAAGGACCCGGGGACAGCCGGAAGAACCAGGAGCGATCATCGGGAATGGCTGGAGAGTGTGCAGGAAGAGGCTGGAGATGTACTGGTAGATGGATGGGATAATAATAGATGGGAAAACAGACAGGCCAGATGAGCCCAGAAACCTTCGTGTTATTCCAAACAAACCAAGCAGGATAATCACCGCGCCTTTCTGCCGGCTTGGAACGGAACGCAAATACCTATTTTAATTCGTATTTTTTTTGTTCAGACACCCGAGGAACAAACTTTCCGGCCCGATACCGTGTGTTAGGGGCGTGCTGGAGTCATTTAAAATGCAAAATAGCCCGTGTCGCGCTGCGAGGAGGAGGAGGAGGAGGACGGCTGCCTTCCTCCCTCCCTGCCCTTGCAGGAGCAGCTCCGGGCCCCGCCGCCGCCCCCGGGGGTTACCCGGGGCCATCCCCCGACGGCCCCGCACCCGGGGAGGGGGGTCTGCGGCGCTGCCCACCCCCTCACCCTCCCAAAAAAAAAACCTCCGCGGGGGCACCGGGAGGGGTCGGGCAGGGGGAAAGCGCCCGGGGAAACACCACCACCACCCCCCACCCCCCCGGTAACGACCCCCCAAACCCCGGAGGTGCGTGTCCCCCCTCGGGGGCTCCTCCGCTGCCCCCGAGCCCCCCGCGCTGCCCCCGCGGCTCCCGCGCGGCTCCGGCCCCGCGGCGACACCGTTATTCGGAACAATAGGGCTTAAAACAAAGCCCCCCCCCAACACACACACACACTCCGCGCAGCCCCCCCCTCCATCCCCGGCCTCCCCGGGGTGCCCGGTGTTTTTGGGGGGAAGGGGGAGGGGGGTGTCGGTGCGGTGCCCGGGGGTTTTTGGGGGGCGCGGGGATGGGGTGGGTGCCCGGCGCTTACCTTGGTGCACCGCCACATTGCAGCCGTGCCCGTCGCAGTACACCAGCGGGTTCTCCGCCCAGCCCCGCTCATCAGAACAGACACAGCAGCCTCCCACCATCTCCTTCATACTTCCATGAGGGTTTCCTTCCCCCCCCCGCCTCCCTCTACGCGCACACTCCTCCTCCTCCTGCTCTCCCTCCTCCTCCTCTTCTTCTTCTCCTCCTCCTCCTCCTCCGCGCTGCCCCCTCCCTGCTTCCACCGAGGGGGGTTCGGGGGGTGCGACCCCCGGCCCGGGGCCGGATGGGGGGTCCCGGGGTGTGTGTGGGGGGGGTGCAGGCGAGGGGGGTCCCGGGGATATGGGGAGGGGAGGGGAGGGGGGGGGGGAAATCCCGGGGGCGGCGGGCGCTCCGCGGCCGCACCACAGACATTTACAGCCCCCCCCCCCCCTTCAATCATGGCCGCGCCGCCCGCGCGCCCCGGTAAAATTTGCGGTTCACGGATCACGCTCCGGCTGGGGCGGGCGCGTTTGCTCTCCGCGCGTCGCTTCGGGAGGGACAGGGGGAGCCGCGCGACATAAATTGGTTTTTTGGTTTTGTTTGGGTTTTAACCCCCTTTCCGCCGGCGGGTTTTGTGTTTTTTTTATTCACCACCACCACCACCACCCTTTGCACACCCGTGTGTGCAAAGCGCTGGATGCGCGCCCCGAGCCGAGCGAACATGGATCGCTCCGCAGGGATGAGCTGGGACCGCTCCGCAAAAAAAATCCCATTATCTCGCCAATTCCGCGCTGGCGGATCGGGGCTCCGCGAGCGCCACCGGCTGTCCTGCTCCCCCAGCTCCTTCGGGAAGAGCTTTTAACCCGTTGGCACCTGTTTTGTTATCTTAGAATGTGTGTTCCCCCCCCCCCTCCTTGGAGGGGGTTTGTGCCCAGCAGGACGAGTGTCAGAAATCAGCTGGAAACCGGTAAAAAGGAAATCATCCTAAAATATAGGGAATAACTCTGTGTGGGATTGCTCCTGCACCTCCCAGGTCCACACAGCATCACCCTTGTCTTGGACACGTCATCCAGAACACTCATGGAGAAATGAGGAAAACCCAGAAAAGGAGCACAAAAATGACAAATCTTTGAAAAGAGGCCTCAAAAGTCCGTGTGTCACATTCCTACAGCTCAGGCTCTCCCTGAAATCATCTACCTGAGAACACACAGAGCAGCTCCCAGGGGTCTCATCATCTCTCCTGTGGGTCCTCCCCTGGCCAGCACACCGTGATCGTGGAAAAAAAGGAAGTGCCCGATGCCAGACCGGGCAAAGAAACGGTGGGAAATGTAGCAGGGAACAATTGTTTGCTGGTTTGTGTCCTCCTCCTGTACACACCTCGTGCCTTCCTCTTCCTGGCAGAGGGAGACCCTGCAGGGAGGGAGTTTTGCTGGTGCTGCCATCCTCATGATGATGAGGATGAGCCCCTGGCACCTCCGATGCTGAGGAGGGATGGATGTGTCTCACAGGGAGAGATTCCCCGGAGCCACCCTGCTCCCTCTGCCTTCCATCCCACCTGCCTGAGAGTGCTCAGATTCCAAAGCAGGAACAGTTCCCGTGGGTTCTTGGCAATCCTAACCCTCTGCAGGGCCAGGAGCTGGACTTTGACGGCTCTAGTGTGTCCCCTCCAACTCAGGATGCTCCATGATTTTATGATTTACAACAGCTTAAACGAGACCAAACCCAGTGTCAGCCCTTTTAGCCTGGCCAGCCTCTCCTACCCCAGCCTCCCTTGCCACAGGTGGACTTTGGAAGGTCAATGTGCCCCATAATACAGTTTCTTTTCAAACAAACCCCTCTCCTCGGAGAGGAAACCCATCGCTCAGCCCCATAATCACCAGTTTAAGCATCCTTTAGACGGCACCTGTTGGAGCGTCACATCCAGGGGCTGGAAGGCAGACGGCTCCCTGAGCAGCCTCCTGCTGGGACGCTGTTCTTCCTTTTATCCCGCTCCTTTGAGAGCCGCAGGGGCGGACAATACGGTCACCACATTGCTGGGAATTCACTCAGCCTTAGCTCGCTTTTTTTCTGGGAGTGTTTCCCCTCCTCTCCCACCCCCCCCCCCTCTTTTTTTTCCCCCCCCCCCTGCCTTTTATCTATTGTGTTACCAGCTTGTTTAAAAGCAAAAAGAAAATAAAAAAGGGGGTGTGGGGAGGGGGAAGAGATCTGGCTGGTTGCCTTTGTAACCTGGAGGAGATCCTTGTGGTTCAGGAATTGTCTTAAACTCCAGGACAAAGTGCTGAACATCCACCCAGCCCTGACGGTCTCGGTTCCAGTTGGCCACGGAGACACTTGGACTTGAACTGCAAATTTGCCTTTAGGGGATTAAATCCCCATTTACATAACTAATCCCCTCGGTGAGGAGAGGCTGGGCCAGGGAGGAAAGGGCACAGAGGTTTCCTGAGAAAAATTTTGGGGGGGGGGGGGGGAAGTGAAAGCCGTGAAAGCTGAGACGTGGAGGTATTTAATTTATGGTGGGCATTTATTGTTTTATCAGTCGGTGCTTTTAATGTGGGGAGGCAAAATTAAAAGTACTGGCTCGTGGGAACTGCTTCCCTTGGGCACCTCAGTTGTAACCACAGACAGAAGCTACAAAAGTTGTTACTAAACTTAGTCCTTTACTCCTCCATCCTGAAAATCGTGGATGAGGGAACTGGCTCCTCCACAGGCTCCTTCACCAGAACCCTGAGCCTTGTTAGAGTCTTGGTTGCAAATGATCTTTCATTTTCAGGGGGATCCTTTGCATTTACTTTGGTTGTTATTTAAAAACGACATAAACTTAGTGAACCTCGAGTGCCTGACCTGGAAATTCTCGAGATATAATAAATAAAAAGCTCTTATAGACTGTAAGGCCACAACGTTGTGTTTTACAGATTATTCAGCTGTTTTATCTGTAAAATACACACGTCCTATGTTAAGGGCAAGAATGAGAATTAAGAAAGTTTATGTTTCTGATGATAATTCCACCTGCTCTTAGGGAATTTAAGGACTGAGCTGTGTCAGAGTGGTTTTTCTGGCCTGGCTCACACAAAGGGGAACACTGGGATGCAAATACTTGATAAACTGCCTCTCTGCACAGTATTCCAACAGCTTTTCCTGGGAATGAAGGCTCTCCCTTCCCTTCTTTCTGGGGAAACCGTCCCTTGGGTTTATCAGGAGCGAGGGCTGTGATTTCTCTGGGGCCAAGCAGGGCTAAAACTCGCTCTTTGCACCCACACAGATCAGTGTCTCTGCTCCATGAACCCCTTTGCTCCTTCAGATTCTACCTCCTTCCTCTCAGGCAGGTTGGAGAAAGAGGGAATTGTGTGGATGAGAGCAGCAATCCTTCCCAGGCAGCCAAATTCCTTGGAGTCACCGGCAAGAACCGCTGCTTTAGAGTCAAAATCCCTCGGCTGGAACAGCAGGATCAGCTCCACAGGGCACGGCAGTGATGGCTCATCCTCTGCCAGCTGCAGCCAGCGGGGAGAACGTGCCAGAATCCAGGAGTTTTCCAAACCACATCCCTTCCAGGAGGTTGTTTTCCCACTTCAGGCCCAGCTTCCATCCCTCTCACCCACCTGGATGAGTCGAGCTCCTTCATCTCCCAGCAAAATCACCACAGAGAGGAGTCTCCACACTTTATTTATACACATTATTTAAGCCAAATAATTTAGTTTGTCTTCCTTTAAAGCTTTGCTTTTGAGCTTTTTCTCTGCATCCCTTGTTTTGGGTACTGTGGTGGCTCAAAACATCGGGAAAGTTTACGGTGGTTGCAATTTCAAAGTAATTTCAAAGTCCTTCCTTGAAGAGGTAAATAATCCACAGCAGGGAATCCTGAAAATCTGGGAATTCGGGCTCCAGGGGCTGCCACTGACCTCCTGCAAAGGCCTCAGGTGAATTATTTTGCTTTCCCCCTTCTTCTCTGTTTGGATTATTGGTTGTTCAAGGAGGGAATGACATTTTATCACATCTTCTGCCCCATTCCAGGATCAATGGGGTTTGATCAGATCTCTGCCTGTTCCACCATCACAGCTGATAGGAATTGTAATAGGAATTAAATAGGGATTAAAATCAGAATGATGGTGGTGTTAGAGACAAGTCATGACCTGTGATTCACTGCCCTACACAAAACTTCACCCAAATTCATTTTTGGCCTATCCCACATACAATTCTGCTAAAGAGACTTTTGGGTTTTGTTTTTTTTTTCCTCTCTGGTGAGTTTATAAAGGATAGAAACTCTTTCCTTTTGCCTCCACCAAAACCTGATTTTGTTCCCTGGCAACTAAAGGTCAGTTTTCACAGGTGAGTGGGTGAAAGGGGTGAAAAATCCTGGTTATTTCTTTTCAATTTTCAGAGTGGATCGTTGAGCAGGCACTTAAGAGTTTATCAGATGGGTTATTTTGGCCTTTGTCGTGGGCTAAAAGCTGCATTTCCGACATACAAACACCCACAGGAGCATTCAGAGAGTAAAGCAAGCCAAGAGCCTCACACACACACACATTCACACACTCCCAGCTTTGCTTTGTCAGGAATTTTCTGCCCTTGGACAAGTCACTTCCTCCCTTTGTGCCTCATTTTCCCCCCCCTTTGCTGGAGCAATTCCCCACTGCAGAGCACTTTTGGGGTTGTTTGTCCATGAAAAAAGCACAATATAAGAGCAAGTTATTATTCATTAAGGGCCTGGAAAGGAAACAGTGATGTCATCAACAGCTTTGAAAGGAAATCGTGCCATTAATGACTTATGAAGGAAAAAAAATCAGTGATTGAAAGAGCTCCTTTCCCCCCCCTTCCAGCAGCTTAAATCAAACAAGACAGTGGATCATGTTTGTCTTCGTGGCTTTTGAGGCCTTCAAAACACTAAAACTGATTCATGTGGTAGGTCAGGAAGATGACAAACTTGCTTTTTGGTGCTGGATTAAATTTATGAGTGGAAATATTTTAAGGGATTGCTAGAATTGCTCCGTCTCCTTTTGCCCTAAAAGCCCCAAACTCCCACGTTTTCGTGACCCACCCGTGTTTGTGACACTTCCCAGCCCACTCTCCTCACTGTCCTCTCCCACTGGGATCCCTGTGGATCATGTGTTTAACAGGATTTATTCCCTTTTTCCTGCGAAAGAGAGGCTGTGCTTCAGCCCAGGGAGTTGAGGAACATCCCTAAAACACGTCCAGCTTAACAAACC